CTTTCTTTCTTTCTTTCTTTCTTTCTTTCTTTCTTTCTTTCTTTCTTGATGTTATTTATTTATTTGACAGAGACACACCAAGAGAGGGGACACAGGCAGGGGGAGTGGGAGAGGGAGAAGCAGGTTTCCTGCTGAGTTCTGATGCTTTGATGCGGGGCTCCAATCCCAGGACTCCAGGATCATGACCTGAGCTGCAGGCAGATGCTTAAAGACTGAGCTACCCAGACACCCCTGTAGTTTTTCTTTAAAAGAAAAAGAAAAGGGGCGCCTGGGTGGTTCAGTGGGTTAAAGCCTCTGCCTTCGGCTCAGGTCATGATCTCAGGGTCCTGGAATCGAGCCCTGCATCGGGCTCTCTGCTCAGCAGGGAGCCTGCTTCCTCCTCTCTCTCTCTGCCTGCCTCTCTGCCTACTTGTGATCTCTGTCTGTCAAATAAATAAATAAATAAAATCTTTAAAAAAAAAAAAAAGAAAAAGAAAATTCCAAGAATTTCAATTTTTTAAAATCCAAACTTTCCATACTATTTTTTCTGGTCCTGTACACACTTACCCCGAATTGCTACAACATCAACACCCCCGTTTGTAATATAGAAAAGTCATGATGATATAGGACTGTGTGTCCAATATACTCTTCCTATTCTAGACAAGGATCATGATGAATATGAAGGTTCTAAGGTTTAGATTAAAACTTTATTAGACCAAATTTTTGCTTTAACAAACTGGTTAGTTAAGTATTAATTATGCTAGAAATCTATTTGTTATTTGGAGAAATTAAATTTTAAATTGCCCTAAGAAAATCATCTTACCTTCTCTAGAATCTTAAATACTATTTCACACCTTTGCTAAGATACAGAAAAAAAACTGCAAGAAGGAAGTAGAAAGCACTTGATGCAAACATGGGTTTGTCATTACCTATTGTTCTTTTCAGAAACATTTTAGAAAGATGAAAATTATTATTAAGAAATAATTATTGCAGCTTCTTGCCTCATGGAAGAAAAAATGATACAAGTTACTGGTCTATCTACTTATGATAAAAACAATGCATTGTCATGGCATGGTTTCAGTTGGGCATTTTTGAGTCCCTGGCTCTTGTTAGAATTTCTCTGCATGAGTAGAAGGGGTATAACTGTTAATAGAATAGTTCTAAAGTTCTGGAAGTAATTATTCTGCAAGTAATTGAGATACTTGTTAAGTTTAAAACTGTGGACTGGGAATCTTCATGTTCCTACATTTCAGCAATAAACTGTAAGCCATATTTTTGCACAGACTAGATTAAAAAAAAAATCATAAGAAGCCTGAGAAAGTGTTCTGTCTTTTCCCTCTTCCCCACTGTTTTATATGTAAGAAGCAGCTTAACCAATACAAACAGCTCTTTGGCAAAGCATTTTTCATTCCCATCATCAACTTTGAATGAGAAGTTTTAGCCTGAAGCAAATTCAAATGGATGGTTTATAAGCCTTTGAAAAACTTGGTTGCTGTACCAGTTTCAGATATTTACTGATTTTTATTCTATTATCAATCTATTTACCTATTTATATTTATTTATCTTTACATTTTATTAAAAATTCAAATTAGTAGATGCATTAAAAATACAAAATTTAAAAACATTAATGTACATAAAGATGATTACTATTTACCTAGTTTATAGGAGACAAAAATTTGGGTGTCTTAAAGTCAGAATTGAATCTTGAAAAGCTGGTTGCTACAGCAGGCTTTTCTCAGGAGTCCCATGTCTACCAAAAACTGATTTCAGGGATTGGGAACACAAAGAAAACAAACCTTAGTTTTAAATTGTTGTGTATCATTGTGTTTTATATCCAATACTATCAGAAACATTTTAAAATAACAAATTTGCAACTACTTTTTACTAGGGTGGCAAAGAAGAGAATTCTCATGAGAGAATTTTAATTTCAGTTTGTTCATGTGAGCTAAGTCTAGTGACTAAGCCTAAAATTAGGAGACTACCAGTGTCAAGCAGCTGGCCAAGTGCCCCAAGTTTGATCAAAAGCACTTTAATATTTATGGTTCTGCATTTGCAGGAACATGCTTTTTATGACTGATGGATTGGAGGATGACTCTAAAGGTCCCAGAAGTGATGGATTCAGGAGGCTTAGAGATCTTCTGTAGGTGGCTGAGTGGCTGTTGCCATTGGGGGTGCCTTTTGAATTGCCAGGTGTTGATTCCCCCCAATTTGAACTAATGAGTTAGACATACAGCTAAAGCACTGCTCACACCATCCTCACCTAGCAGCAGCTGGCTCCCTCTTTCCTAATTCTATGTCAGGGCTCCAAAGAGACAACTAGAATTTTCCTGATCTCTGATGGTCAAATTCCTTTCCTCAAACACAGAAGTAAACTTGGCCATCGAGATTGTGACTATTTAAAAAGTTAAGCAAGAAAGTTTTGGGGATGTGTGATTGCCAAGCAAGTAATTTTTCTCAAATAAAATATCTGCTGTTGTTTCTGTTACTGCCAAAATTCACTTTGTGAATTTTCTGAAACCCAATTTTAAAATTAATTTATTTTTTTGCAATTTATGAAAGTTTTCAGTAGAAAGCATGGCCAAATGACATCACCCAATCAGGTTGAAAATATTTCATGGGCTTTTTTTTTTAAAAAGTTGAAGTATAATTGGTACATAAGCTTATATTAATTTCAGGTATACAACATAATGATTTTATATTTGAATATATTGCAAGATGATCACTACAATTAACATTCCTCATCATACATAGTTACAAAAATATTTTTCTTGTGATAAAAACTTTGAAGATTTACTTTAGCAGCTTTAAAATATGTATTATTATACATATTATTATTATTATTTTACAGTATTATTATTATTTTTTAAAGATTTTATTTATTTGATAGAGTGTGTGAGAAAGAAAAAGAGAGAGCATGAGCAGGGGGAGGAGCAAAGGGAGAGGGAGAAGCTGACTCCCTGCTGCAGGGACCCTGATGTGAGGCTTGATCCTCGGACTCCAGAATCAAGACCTGAGCTGAAAGCAAACGCTTAACCAACTGAGCCACCCAGGTGCCCCTGTGATACACTATTATTATCCTTAATCACCGTGCTGTACATTATATCCCCATGACATATTAATTTTATAAGTGGAATTTTTTACTTTTTTCACCCTTTCATCCATTTTGTCTACCATCCCTTGGCCCTTTCTGGCAATCATCAATCTCTTCTCTGTATCTATGAGCTTGTTTTTTTTTGTTGTTGTTGTTTCTATTTTTTTTATTCCATTGTAAGGGAATGATTTAGCTAGGATAATGCCCTCCAGGTCCACTCATGTTATAAATGGCAAGATTTCTTTCTTTTTTAAGGCTGCATAGCATTCCTTTGCATATGAGTAGGTGTGTGTGTGTGTGTGTGTGTGCGCGCGCCCGTGCGCACGCGCATGCGCACAAAAACACACCCCACAATTTCTTTATG